TTTATATGCGAGTTATTTTTGCATTGCGCAATCTGAATTAACTATATGTGACATCATGATTTTTTGAACTAGATGTACCCCAGAGACAAGAGGAAAACTTTATTTTTTCTCACGTATCAACGCATATAAATATGTCATTTGACGCATGTTGCTCACAAAAATGATAGTTGCAATGAATAAAACTATATTTCCTATGCAGTAATATGGGCGCAATAACATATTCCCTGACGATGCTCTTGAGATGTTTGAATCTTTGACTTACACTGTAAAAGACGAGTACTGTCAAAAAAATTATTTTGATGGGTAACCGAAAGTTTTTTGTATCGAATCTTAATACAAAAGTAAGCCTTTGTTTTTCAAAAAGTGGCAATTTCTTCGACGACGTCGTCAAAGATGTTGTGAATGAATGATTCTGTCCGCAATTTGATGCATTACTTGTCCAATCATCCATAGAGATTCAAATTTTTCAATCTGGATAATCGCTGATCAAACTTTATTAGTGGTCAGCATTTTTGAAAGAAATACTTTCTCTGTTGAAAAGTTCAAATCAGTTAAATCTTTATGGCAACTTACTTAAGATAGAACAACTTGTATTTCTTAATAAGTAAACTGTGAACGATATAGTTTCGTTTTCATTACATAAGATTTGCTTTTATTTTCTACTAAAAATAATTTTTTTCTGATGTCAAGGTATGGCTATGGAAGAAATCAAGAACTATTGATCAATCAGGACGTACCAAAGGAGAAAAGTTGACGTTTTGGTTGTTATTGATAGATTTCCTCTTCGCACGTCCTTATATAAATTTTGGATAAGATTTGATATGTGACGAAAAATTAATGGATGTTTTGGCGACATTTATTCTTTTTCACCTATTGTTATATATTTGAATAATGTAAAAGTAGTTGATTCTGATTAAGTATTCAATATTGAATAGGAAAACGTGATTTGATAGCGTTTTAAAATTAATAAAGTTAACATATCCTGCCCACTGCTGATCAACGTGAGCATAGATCGTGAGTGTAGGTGAAGTGAAAATTTGTTTATGAGTACCACAGTTGATCATTCTTAATGCTGGTTACATCGTTCAGAACCCAAAATAGTCGATAATGAATAGTATCTGCTATACAGATTCTTGGTAAATTCCAATGATATTTCAAATCTGAGACGAATGTCTCTAAGCTAGCAATTACGTATATACACATTCACCAAACGAAAAGGGCGCGTTTTATCTTTATTAAAAGAGCTACAAATGCGTTAGATTTGAAAAGGTGTACAAATTCAACTCTACGGAAAATCATCGAACGGATACTGATTGCTAAATTTGTACCTAGAGAACGAAATGCTCTTTAAACTAAAACGTTCAACTTAATTGATTAAGCTAAACACATAGAAACAGGTGTGAAGTGTGAGTGGCCGCGTGTGGGTGTGGGTCTTCTATTCACCCACTCCTCGTGCAGTTTTATCATCTCCTATGTACAATACGAACGATTATTTATTTTTTAGTTCAACCCAAAGTAGAAGCTCCGACGTCAGTAAACGAGCGATCATGTATGTATGGTCAAGATACTAAAATTTTATGGAAGTTCAGTGGCATTGGGAAACCACGAGTGACATGGTTCTTCAATGATCAACCACTTCCAAATAATGATCGCCTGCAAGTAACGGAGACTGATGATGGAACATCGATACTAACAGTTCGTCAAGCTGAACTTGGCGATCAAGGTGTCTATACTGCTAAAGCAACCAATGCTTTTGGCGAAGCTGAAGCTCAAACAACATTAAAGATTGATCGCATCAAACCTGTCATCAACACTAATCTCAATACTGCACTGAAAGTCACAAAAGGTGCAATTTTGACGCTAAAAGTCGTCGCCAGTGGAACTCCGAAACCTCACTTTGTCTGGATGAAAGACGACAATGAACTTACACCCAATGATCGCATTCAAGTGACGATATCGACTGGTGACGATGACAAATATACACTGACCATCTTAAATGTACAACCAGAAGATGAAGGAGAATATTCAGCCATGATTTCCAATGTTGGTGGATCACTTCAATCCGATAAGTGCAAAGTTATTGTTTCGAGTAAGTCACCTTGACTATTCCTGTTCTTAAATACATGTGCTGTTGTAGAATCACCTATGTTTATTGTCAAGCCGACGCCACAAAGAGTAAAACAAGGTGAGACAGTCTTGCTCAAGACACAAATCGATGGATATCCAACACCTACTATCACATGGCTTCTCAATGGCAAACAGCTGACAGCGAAAGAAGGCGTTCAAGTGCAATTCGATGCTACGACTGACCAAGCGAAGTTGTCCATCGAAAACGTCGATCTAGAACAACATGCTGGTTCAATTACTTGTCGGCTGAAGAATCTCTATGGCAGTGAAGAAGAAACTTTTCGACTTGATATTCTCGTTCCACCAACAATCATCGAAGACTTGCCAAAACAACAAGAAATTGTAAGTGGGCGAGATGTCACACTGAAAGTGGTTGCAAAAGGATCACCACTACCTTTTGCACGATGGTTCTTCAAAGATGAGGTCATCAGATCGGAAAATACGTCGATAGGCAAGGCCAAGGGTGAATATCAACTGTTAATCAAAAAAGCAACGGTGGCGCAAAGTGAAGGTACCTATCGAGTCGTCTTGAGGAACGAAGTTGGTGAATTACAGTCGACCCCATGTGTATTTACAGTACTGGAACCAGTTAAGTTGGCAAAAGTGAAACCAGTATCGGGTGCGATCGATTTGCAAGAGAATCAAGCGTTCCACATCGTCGTGGACGTGAATGGCAAGGAAACACCGACAGTTCAGTTCACAAAAGATGGAAAAGCACTGCCGTTTGCACGCCAAGGGACAACACAATACACATTCTCAGTAGCTAGGGTAAATCGAGAAGATCAAGGAGTGTACAAGGTGACAGCAAAGAATAAGGCTTCAACTGAAGAGACAACTGTCACCCTCAATGTTGTTACTGGTGAGTTTCCCTCCATTTCAAAAACAAACTTTGCAGCGTATCCATTGTGTACATTCTCATAAGATAGAAACTTCTTCATTGTCCTTTACTGTCCTTGCGCAACCAGATGGAAGATAAGTTTTTTCATATGCATGAAAACTTCCACTTATAGTGTAAAATGGAGCGAAATTTTATGAATACTATCTGTTTCATTCATACGTACGCGTAATATATTCTTCTTAAAGTTCACTATTCATGATTTGGATTCGATTAACATAACTAAGACAACAATCTTTCAAAGATTCGTCCAAAGATGATGCAGTTCATCATGCATCTCTAAGTTGTTTTAGAAAAGTTTGAATTTTCTCTTACAATGGAAGATTTTGTACTTTTAGTAAAGGACGTTAGTCATATTCGGATCCAATTGAAGCTTTTAATGTCAAACTAATAAATTTAAAATACGCGCTGCCCAAGGCATTTATTTTTCTTTTTTTGTAGTGGCTACATGAGGTGTGAGCGTAAGTGGGTGTTAGTTTGGATAGGTCTTCTCTTCACCCACATCTAAACTCGCCTCGGAAAGGATGGAAAAAGAGTTTCGTCTAAAGGTGCAGGTCAAGGCCAATGTCATTCATGATTTTGATAAATTTATCGAGTCTTTCATGAAAAAAGTTCAGACTGAGTGTCTCGTCTCACTAGAATAATTTGATTTTGAGCATTAGATGAACCAATGTCGTGTTCTTCGACTTAGTTTCACTATTGAGACACCTGTGTTTGAAGTATTAATTATAAAACACATATTTTTCAAAAATACGTTAGAATTTTGTAGCCTTTTTTGACTATAACTGAATGTTAAACTAAAATCAAGAGTATATTAGGAATCAATGTAGAAACCTACGTCATCTCTGAAATATATCAGCTGAACTTTTTCTATGGAAAAGTACTTGAGGAATTACAGTTTCAGTTAACGGATTATCGACGTCACCGAATCAGCATGGTCAGTGAACATTGACCAACCTAGCACATTGACACTGGCATCAGTGCTCACTGAAACACTCGAAGACATCACTACAAGCGGGGCATATTTTGATATAGCTGGTGACTCAATGTTACGGCAAATGCGAACATCAGCACAATGAGCCTCCCCCCCTCCCCCGAGTGAACCTTTTGTTGATGACTGGCTGTCAGTATTTACACCAACACTGTAAATGACTGAATGCACCTCTAGTGAATCACAAGACAAATTTACCAAAAAACAATACCGAGAGATTCTGATGTACTTTTTTTGTTAAAATAGCTGAATGTTAGGATGTATTTTTTTCGTTGATCCTGATGGTGTTACTGGTTTTCCACTGAAACTAAATGATGATAATGAAAAACATTATGTATGTTCATATGCTTCTCAAGTTGGTCTAATTTTACTGCTTTCATCAGAAAAAATTCATTTTTCTAGAGAATCAAACAAAATTTAGGCATAATTCAATAGATATTTTTATTAATCGCGATCATACGATTCTAAGAACATGAGACATCCCAAGTGAGCAAAAAATAACGAAAGACGGCGTCCATAACTAGCCCAAAATGTCCGCAACGCCCGTCAAGTCTAGTCTGAAACGTCTTGCACACCCGTCATGACTAGTCACCTTTTGGAGAAATGTCCTTCAAACACGTCTGGACTAGTCCAGAAAGTCCTTGAACCCAGTCATGTCTAGTCCATTTCGTCCTTTGAACCCGCCCAGACTAGTCCGAAGACTAAAAGAAAGAGGATGAAGACAGATTCGAACATCCAACCCGACAGTATTCAAAACTGGACGGGCATCCTGATGGTAGACTAGGACACTGAGATAGACTGACGTCAATTTATACAGTCTAAGATACCAAATTGACTCTCGTCGATCCACTAGACAATCTGAAACCAGTCGATGTCACACGACTTTGACTAGTCTGAAACGTATTTCATAGAGTCAAGACTAGTCCGAAGCGTCGTCTGCGCTCGTCATGACTAGTCCTTTTTTAAAGAGTATGTCACCCGTTCTAGTCAGACTAGTCTGAAAGCTCTAAGCAACCCACTTTTTTTGAATCAAATATATCTTGTTAATTCGTTTAAACTGATCACTAATGAAAGTAAGAATGCAAGTAGAAAAACTTTTCAATATCTATATCGTTTGTTAAAAATAATCAATGGATAATATCAAATACATTTAATCTATGAACTTGATAGTAGGATAACAATCGTTTTATTGCCTGTCTTGTATTCAAATCTTTCTGGATTGAGGATCAAAATTGATCTATTATATTATGGTTACGGTAATTAATAAGACGCATTTTTTCATATTAAAACTATATCGCTCGCCAAGATATTATAAATATTTCTCTAGGTAGAATGACAATCAGAGAGTCTGCTATAATCAACAACGAGGTCAAGTATAGATAATATGCTCTGTGCATGCTTGTCTTCATATATCTTATTATATTTTGTATTTTCATATGTTGAAAATGTAAGAGTATATCAAAACTAACAAAAAAGTAGGAGTAAGTATAATGAACTATATTCATCTCGTAGCGAGAAATATTAATTTATATTTTTTAATATTATTAGATGTACTATGTTTAAAAAAAACTGAAGAATAATTTAAATTTTTTTATGTCATAATTTTATGTTATCTTATTTTAAATATAAATTCTAATAATTTTAAATTTAAGAATATATTTAAATTAAGCAAAGTTAATTTAATTGTTAGTTGAAGATATGGTAATTTTAATTTAAAACTAAGCCATCATATGAAGAAATCTGGTTTCTTTTGAATATAAATAGCTTTTTTATTTTTACGTTTAAAATTTATTTTTTTTAACGCAACTAATTATTTCTCCTTAATGATAATCGAAAGATATTTTTCCAAAAAATATACAAACTTTTTGGATTATTTTTTTAATGTTGTCCAAATAATGTCATATTCTGTAAAAAATAATTTTTACTTAAATGTGAACATAAAAAACTTTAAGCAAAATTGTATTAAATAGAACCTTAGAATGATTATGACTATGTAGAAGCTAATTTCTTGATCATATGGCTCAATGGTCCAAGCAATGGGTATGTAATACATTGTACGCATGTTCGAATCTAATCTTCATCCTTACATATTTTCATTTAGACTAGTCCGAACTCGTCCACTACACACAGGACTGCAACTTGTCCTATGTACCGTCCCTGACGTCCTTACTTTTTCAATTTTAAACTCATTTTGGACGGGCGTCGCTGTCGCCCGTCTTGACTAGTCTTTGTCTCAAAAAGTCCTCGTCCAAGACTAATCTGCATTTCAAACAATAATGTTTCCCATAAACCGACTTCAGACTAGTTCTGGACGAGTCTTTCTCAAAAAAAGACTAGACTAGGCACGTATAATGTCGCCCGTCAATCACGTGATTTAGACGGGCTTCATGACGGCCAAAAATCCCGGACTAGTTATGTACCCGTCGAATTTGAGACAAAGACTAAGCATGACGGGTCGACATGACTAGAAAAAAGACTAGTCATTTACCCCGTCTTTTGCTCACTTGGGATTAGGGTTTATTTGTTCTCACAGAATTTAAGTTAAGATTTACATATAGCAGTCTCTATAAACACACAACAAGTATTGTTGCTTATATCAAGGGGTTGGGTTGTTAAGTGGAAGGAACTAGAACAGCTGAATCTAGAATCAGAAACCAACATATCTAAATCAGTAGATTACCTTAACCCTTGAGCGTCTTGATAAAGTGAAGCTACATGTATATCTATATGTTTGATATAAATGTACATAGATTTTTCTCACCAGTTGGAATCGATCAGCTTCTGTTCTATATTTTGAATCGTTTCCATCTAAGCTTTAGTGACAATACGAACATATATATGTGATGGATAATTCAAATCTGTATAAACTTATAATAAGAAAATAAGAACTCATCGCAAAATCGTTCGATTCATCTTTTACCATGGCTTCTTCTCTATTCCTGTGC